ACCGAAAATTGTTCTAAAACCCGTATCAATCCACGAAGAGAAGTAGAATAGCCAGCAAAMGCTCAGAATATTTTTTAGTACATATTAACACATATCATATCTGAAAAGCAGGCCATTTTAAATTAAACTGTTTAGCTAGGAGCAAATTTTGTTGAATTTTCTGGTGCATTTGGCGATTCTATCCACCACATAAACAAGCAGTACCGTCATAGTGAAATAGGGCAATTCTTTAATATTATTATAAAAACTCATATATTCTAAGACACAGAAAGAGCAAAGGTGATTGGCATCATTTATTCAAATTTTTTCAAAATATCTAAACAAATAGTTTTTAAATTTCAGTCTTATGCTTCTTTAAAACATATTCTCAAAAGACACAGAAAGAGCAAATGGTATCATTTATTTAATCATTTTAATATATTATATTATATTCATGAATAATAAAACTTTTCAAAATATCTAAACAAATAGTTATCAAATTTAAGCCTTTCATATTTTTTTTCCTCGATTGTTATCCTGACCTATTCCCACGCACTTTTTCAATGATTTCCCATTAGACGCAGTGCCACAGGTTTTACTAGAGTTATTACTATTTGCATGATATATTTAAGTCTACCCGACTGTTTATATATACTAATTGATTTTCTTAGTCAGAAAGACTTGGTGGTTGGTTGCTTCTAGACTGACTTATCCATGTATTCCGCTTCTTTGTAATATGCCAGTCATGGGCGGCATGTTTATAAAGCTGTAAAGCACGTTTACAATGTCTGCGTTTGGATGAGATTTGCAGAGACTGCGAAGTTTTGAGTTATGATGATGGGGTTAGGATTAGGGTACCTTCGCAGCTTCAAGTTTTGAATGAGGGGAAGGAAACGAGCTAAATGTTTTTCACGTTACGAAAAGTCTTGTTGCAATTTTGAAAGAAAAAAAATTGGTCGCTTAAGTTATCCTTCCCACCCCACTCCGTGGTCCATGATTTGGACCACTTGTACTACTTCTCTTGCGTCAACGATTTCTCCGTATCTTACAACGTTAGAGATTTATATGAGTTGCTCTGATCTATCGGCAGGTTTCCCAGCTTGAACCTCTTGTATCAAGTCTCTATTCACGACTGCAGCACAACACCTGAACCCATGCCTTGGATGTGGAAGATAAGTAGAAATTTTCCATTTATCGTTTGCTGGATCATAGCATTCTACTGAATCGACTACTATGTTTCCATAGGAACCACCGAAGACGTAGATTTTACCACCGAACGCTGCTGAATCTGCTCTATCGCGTTTAATGCACATGTCTAGGTAAAATAGAAAAATATATATTACATATAATTATAAAGAAAAATCATCATGCAAGCATCAAAATCCCCATCCTTATCATATAGTATGTATCATCAAATGTATCACCATGTATCATCATGTACCAACATCATCATCACGTATCCTCATCATGTATCTGCATCACCATCATCATGTATCGTCACCATCATCATGTATCATCACCAACATCATCATCATGTATCATCACCATCATCATGTATCGCCACCATCGTCATGTATCATCATCATGTATCAGTATCAGTATCATCATCATACATCATATTCGTATATCATCACCACCATCATCATTATTATCATCATCATCATCATGTATCATCATCATCATGTATCATAATCATCACCATCATTATCCTTATACAAACATGACGTCTATGACGTAACATGCTCCCCAAAAATTGTATACCTTGACAGTAAAACCATTTATCTTGATTAGCATGGTAAACTTCGCACGTCTTTAGTGCTATTCCCCTATTCGATGTCCCTCCCATCACGTAGATCTTTCCTGACAGTGCCACTGCGCATGCTCCACTTCTTGGTGTATTTAGACCTGCTACTGTACTCCACTGGTCGTGTATTGGATCATAACGTTCGACGGTTCTTAAAACCGTATTACAGCGAGAAATACCTGAAATGACACGTTGACATATAAAGTATTTAGACTGCGCATGTCAGAAGGATTAGGGCCAAAGATTTTTTACTACATCATTAATCCATCCTGATTTCATACACTTACCTACCCACCAACCACCCATATTCATACATCCATCTTTTCTTCCTTTCTTCCTTTCTTCCTTTCTTCCTTTCTTCCTT